GTTTCAATTTTAAAATCGATCGACTTATGTTGTGGCTTTTGTGTTTGATTGTTTCACTTTCAAGCGATGATTTCTATTAAAGTAAATTTTTTACAATACAAAAAGTACGAAAAAAAATTGTTTTTTTCCTTACAAAAAAATTGAAGAAATTTGATGTCAAATACCATAAGTTGTTTTGCACCCGTCTTGAAGTTGCACTTATGTATGAAGAACGATCAAATATTGAAGCCGATGAACTTTATCTAGAGTTAAATATAGTTGACAAGTTCTTACCAAGTGAAACTACTAACCACACTGATATTTTATATTATATGAAAAAAAGTTGGTTGTTTTCCTAAAACAATTAATGCATATAGTGTCTTGTTGACAATTCTAGTAACTCTTGTGTCTATAGAAAAAAGTTTCTGAAAATTGAAGTTGTTAAAGTCCTATTTATGGTCCATAATGTCACAAAAAATATTTAATGGCTTGGAAATGATATTTATTTTGAACAATATATTGAGAAGTAATGATTATGAAGAGTTGGTGAACAACTTTGCTTCTAAGAATGCTATAAGAGCATCGTGATTCATGTAACTATGTGAGATTAGATTTTATATACAAAAAAAAATTGTTTATAGGTCTAATTTTATTTTTTGCATAGGACCTTCAAAATCAACGAGACGTCATGCGGAAAAGGTGATAGAAGAATGATCTAAAGGTTCTTTTTAACTTCTAACTCCATATTTAACCATGAATGTTTCTAATTTTTGCAAACTAAAACCATTTTTGACTTATCCCTTTAATTTGACTTATTAAATTCACACAATTGCCCCATATTTCCTACTTTTAATAATTAAGTTTATAATATTTTCATATTTACCTTTTAAGTTTGACCAATTTATAAAATTTAGTTCCTTAACTACAAAAGCTCACATCTAGGACTCTAAACGACATTAACGTTCAACGAACTGTTAGTGAACCGTTCGGCGGGAAGTTCATTTATTTAATAAATGAACAAACATGAACACAAATTATCGTTCATTTATTTAAACGAACGAACATGAACAATGATCTTGTTCGTTCAATTTTGTTCATGAACGTTCGTTTATGTTGCTCGTTTTATGTTCGTGCATTTTTATGTTCATATATGCTTAATTATGTTTGATTACATTACTATATTATATATTCATTGATGTTCATATATGTTTGTTTATCTTTGTTCAATTATGTTCGTTTAGAATGTTCACGAACATAAACGAACGAACATGAACAATGTAATTTGTTAAACGAACGAACATGAACAAGAAAACTTGTTCGTTTATCTGTTCGTGTTCGTTTATTTGTTCGGCTAACTTAAACAAACGAACATGAACAAGTTTCCGCTCATATTCATTCGGTTCGTTTATAGCCCTACTCACATCTATACCACCGTTTAACTTGGAACGAAACTAGTAACTAAGTATTTTCCTAAATAATCCTCCCCTATATAAATTATAACTACCAAGTTCTATTTGGTCAACATGAGTCAAACGTCAACTTTAGTCCTTGTTTCTTAACTTTCTCAATTTGAGTCTATTAAACTTCTAGTTTATTTATAGTATCATATTTATCATATATTTTATGAATTAATTTTTTTATTATAACTTTTTATTAATTATTATTTTTTATTTTATTTTATTTCCAAGGCAAACTTATAGGCTCGTCTTGCAGATGTTACAGTACAATACCTTGATGAAAAGAAAATTATGCAAGCTCTTCTTGCAATCTACCATTTTGAATGATGATGGAATGTAAAGCCAGAATAACCGTGCATAATATGTATGAATGGTTCTGTAACGTGACTGTAATGTGATTGAAATGGATAAGTTAGAAGATCTCATATGCTTTGGTTATTGATTCTAAGATGTGTCATGTCCGTCATCTTAAGTATGATACCTGATGTATCCTAGGCATTGAATATAAGTAGTAAATACTAGGAAGATCCATGTGACTATCATGGGAGTGATGCTAAAACATTCTTACGTATTTAAAAAGACCAGATATGTTTCCTTGGTATACAGTGATACCAAGGGAGGACTTGTGTAAAAGTATACACTTATGCCAATATCCAGACTATTCATGATGATTTCAAGTATCATTTGGGGTTCGTATTTTGCATGAATGGCAGAGTTACTAGTAAGAAAAGTTCAAAGTAGGATACCATCATCGATTCAACTACATAAGCTAAGTACATAGTAGCATGCAATGCAACTAAAGGGGGAGTTTGGATCATGAAGCTCATTACAGGACTTAACATTGTTCATAGTGCATCATATTCTATTGACATTTGTTGTGATAACAATAAGGCTATTACTCTGTTTAAAAAAACCAAAATTACACCACAGATTCAAACATATACTCAGAAAATATCAATATGGAGATCCATTGATAAAGGAGATGTAATGAACACTAAATTCATAGACGAGCAATTTGGATTATGGCCAATTTGAGCATGGTAGCCCGACCACAGTTAGCTTAAGTTGTCAATCAGTTTGATTGATCAATTAGAGGCAACCTAATGAGCATTTCATTTCCCAAAAATGAAATTTTTTTGCAAAGTACTTTGTGCAAAAAAATCAATTAAACATTACAAAGCACTTTTCAGAAAGAAAACAACTCAATTAAATATTACATTAAAAGATCATAAATATCAAGATTTATTCGTGTCTAAAGTCATTTGTCCAATAAGAAAAAATCATGTTTTTTCAACACGTATTCCCTTCCATTACTAATCCAACATAGCCACGCATCACGTTGTACACCTACGGTCACTGTCTTGATGTCTTCCTCAAGACACATAAAATAATTAACGGCACATATTTTTTTGAGAAATCTATGAACCAGAAACATATTAGCGGCCCACATTCAGTCACTTCTTATCTTATCATTCCTCTTGTAATTTCATTCTTTTGTAGTAATTTAAATCTATTTCAGTAAATATATATATTGGTTCAAAACAATATGTTTAAATCTTATACTATTATTAATTTCTTTGAGCCATATCTTTCGATCAAAAAGTCCAAATTTTATCAAGCAAATGATTTCCATAGTTTCCATAAATTTGTAATACCAGAAGGCTACATACGGATCAAGATATTTCAATTATAATTGACCATCCAAAGAAGTATAAATAAAACTTTAGAAAAAAATGGTTAATAATAGTCTCTAGTTAATAAACTAAGTAAAATATTTCTTAATAGCGTATATCTACAAAACCAAAATGAATATTACAAATATCATGTAAGAATTGTTAAGAGAGTAAAAGGCGATATATATTTAAGTGATCATAGTCATATTCTCATGGACAACATCTGGACAAAAAGTTAGCCTATGTTTTATGTGTAAGTTTTTTATTTCTAAATCAATATTAATTCTCATTTCCGTCTAAATTTAAGTGTTTTACATGAAGATTTAGGTTATCCCAAGTGACTAGTAGTTACTAGAGGTTGCTACTGAGATGCAGATAGTGTGAGTATCGATACTGAACATTGCTGCTAACTACTAAGAGTCTAAGAGTAGATAGTGAAGGTTGTTACTCAGGCACATGACTAAACACCAACTTCCTATATTCCAGTTGCCAATAAATGCACAATAACTGTATTTTTATGTTTGTCAAATTTAGACATGATCGTTGAAATATCCCCTAAGTCCATAAAGTGTTAGGGTTTAACCTAGTTGATAAATGATTTCTTCGATAAAGTAAATAAATGCAAAACAACGAACAATACACAATCAATTTACATAGTTCACATGATCAGGATTATTGGTTACGACGTCCACAACAAATACGAGAGAAAGAGAGAGAGAGAGAGAGAGAGAGAGAGAGAGAGATTGTTGTTTTATGCCGAATGGTTGTCTGATACTGTGATACATTAGGTTAAACACGGATTCAAAGAATATAATACTAGTTGTTTGACCTAATATTGTCAATAAAGTCAAGCCCATGAAATACAGATGAAGCTGACCTACGACGCGTTTTGATATTGTTTCAGATAAAGGAATTAGCCTGGAAAATGTGAATCACTCTCCACAACTTAACAATAAATTAGTCGTACATGATGTTTATATCATCTAACGATTGCCAGAAACTCCTCTTTTCCATTCTTGAAACCGAGGATGTTGGGCATAATAACACACTCTTCGCCACCACCTCCTTATTACTACCTTAATCATGGTGAACCTGTCACACTCTATGGATTGTGCCCTCTTCAATTACTCCCTTGAATACAAGCAAAGTCAACATTCATTTTTAAACTTGTCAATTTCTAACAACTTTGTGTTCAAATATCCCACGTTCAAGGTACATATTTAAAAACATGTATCATATGTTCAATCTACACCTTCCCACTAAATAAACAACTAAAACCCTTAAAAGCAAAAAATAACTACCACTTATTTGCAGATGTTCAAATATTGAATATTGATATTTTAATCATTCATTTTGCATAATGGCATCACAATTTTTGTTTTCCGAGTTCTTGAATCTTGACAATGTATATGAACTATCAAGTATCGTTCATTCGATGAGCTTTTCTAACAGGATTATTGCAACTCTTAACGCCATTGCTTTTGGAGGCATGAACTTTCATGAATATTGTTCATCTTGTCTTCAAAGATAAACCAAGAAACTTGCAACCCCCTATATTATTTTGTTCAAAACACACCTTTAAGACATGGTTTAAATGTACTTAATGGTGATTTTGAACATATTGTGTTTCTTGAAAATGTTTATATAGTCAAGAAGGTATGTCTTTATCCTAATCAATTGTGGCGAAGAGGATAAACAACTCGTTCTAAATAAAGGTTACATCAAACATCAAACATGAAACAATTTAACTGCCATTAAAATTGGTATCCATTGATCAATCTTAAGACACATCGAACAATTTAACTGTCTATTGACTTTCATATCCATTAAAAGTCAATATAATTTAGTTTAAACTATGCATTACGATGCTTTAGACATTATTTACCAAAAGTGAACACAATAAAAAATAGCATAAAACCCAAGCTAAACAACTACAACTACAAACACAAGTCAGTTACAAATTCATTTAATTACCAAAAATTAACAAGAACCCATAAACCAAAAAAAGGTGCATTTCTCCTTCCCTTTATACATTTCTCATCTCAAACAACCCCTGTGCACCATCCACGTTAACTTATCCCAAACAAAGAGATATCATTTCATCTCATTTGAAAAAAAACCCGACCCATTAACCCATTAACCCAATAATAGCCCAAAAGACTACAAGCAAAGTCTTATTCTCTGTTCTTCCCTCTCTTCAACACATCGTTTATATGGTACAAACCCTTTCATACACGTGTCCTTTTTCTTGCTATGTTGCTTTGTGAAAGCCGATCTTTCACTTCCAATCAACAAAAAAGGCTTTTTCTTCTTCTTTTCGTTCTCATAATCATCCTCTTCTTCATCTTTCCCTCCAACACTTTCGCTATCACTACAACCCTCCATGTTGACCGGATTACACAGTTGTTGACCTAAAGGGTAGGAGGACACGTGTCCATACACACCCCACCAAGGCGTAACAGAAGGTGAAGATCTCACAACTGTCGACTCCATATTCTCATCAAGAAATTGCATGTAGTAAACAGGGGCCCCACATGGTAAAGAATTAATCGGCATTGTTGTGTTCTTTTCCTCATTTTGATTCGAATCTGTAATCACAACTGTCTTCCCAAAAAGCTTCAAACTTTGAGTCGACCCGAAATCTTTTTCTTCACTACATGACTCCATTTTCTATAATTACCAAAAAAACAACAATTAGACATCGGTTTTAATACAATTTTATCAAGATTTGAACAAAAGATGAAAATAATTTCATACCATTGGTGGAGAAGATTCATTTTCTTCAGGTGAAGATTCGGTATTTGGAGAACCCGAATCACCCAACCCAAATAAATTCGACCCGCCCGCTGACAAAACCGAAGTTGGAGACTGATTTTCCTGATCCGACCCGGATGAATTTGGGGATGTTGACCGGGCATGTTGACCATGCCCACCCGTTTTAATTGGGGCAGAAAGCTTACGAGGGTATGGATGCATCGGCTTCCTTTTTGGACGAGGTGGAGGGATTTCAATCGGTTTGACTTCACTCACATCACCGGTTGACTCACGAACAACCTAATTTTCAATAAAAAAAATTATTAGATAACTAAAATAATTCATTATAATCATTAAAATTATCATGTACAAGTATCGAGAATGAAGAATGTAATAGTCGTTTGTATAAAGTATAAACCTTAGAGAAAAATTTTTGGGCATGGCTTCTAATTTGAACTGCAGTTTTGGTGCCCACATGTTCTGCAAATGGGAAGTGTTTGATGAATTTAGTTTTTCAATTCGCAAATTTATTTAAACTATAAGATTTAAAATCAGTGGAAATTTAATGTTGAAATTACCTTCAATTCGTCTCCAAGCACGTCCGTATAGCTTTAAAGCTTCTAGAAACTTTTTGTGTTCTTCTTCAGTCCATCTTTCTCTTTGTTTTGTGATTGTGTAGGGTTTTCTGACCTTAGGAGCGTAGTCATCTTGTGATGTGAATTGGTCGTTTTTATTGGTGTTTGAGTCGGAGCCTTCTTCACTTCGATCCTACATTAATCAAGAAACAAGAAATTAAGATAAAGAAATTGGGATAAATGAGTTTAAATCGAGTTTTTTTATCCCCCTTTTTCTTACTTATCTTTCATTTACATTTAGTAACCCCAAATATCCAAAATCAGTAAAAGTCTAACGAATGATTTGTCACTATCTTGAGTTGATTCATGCTATAAATCAATAACCCACAACATAAACAATGTTTGATTAGTATACAGATTTGGTCTCTTAATTGAGTTAATAAGTTGCTAATCCTAGAATTATCAAATTAAAATCCATGAACTCGTAATATAATTTGAAGCAATTGTCTAATGTCTACCAGTAATCAAGATTCAAGTCAATCGAATCTCATTAAAAATTTGCTTTTTGGGGGGATATATTATTACTTATATAAATAATCCATAGAACATAATCAACATCATACATACAAAACCCTCTGTTTTTATAGGTGGGATTGAATCAATAGCAAAAATAAAAAAACTAAATTAAAAGACTAAATCCAATGAATAAATACAAAATTAAACTGTAAATTAAGGATTTAGGAAGATTGGGGACTTATACATACCTCAGCCATGCTTTCACACACCATCGTAAATTCTTCAAATTCTTCGAAGTTTTCTCCACAGTTTCCTTTACCGACGCCTCAATCAAATGAATATACACGAAAAATCACAGACCCATTTCCGGATCTAAACGATTCATCAAAGAAATCAAACTCCTCAATCGAATACAACCCAACCCGACCCGAGACGACCAACCCACGAAGAAACCCACCGGACCCAGATTGAAACCCAACAAATAACCACAAAAGATCCGAACTTCCGTCGGAAACACCAATCGGTTCCAAGAAACAAAACAATCAAAGCCGCAAAAGAGAAATTAGGGCTCTGAAAAAGACTTCCCGAGAAGAAAAAACGGTTTCCGATGACCGGAGACGGCTGGTTTTCTCCCAACGATCTCCAAAAGGAACAATCGGAAAGCTCAAAAAAAGATTTTGAAGAAATTTAGAGAGAGATTGAGAGATGAACAGAGGAGTGTGGTTTGTGATGAACTCAAAGATATGAAGGGGAGTAGTTTTGTATTCGGAGGAAAAAGGTAGAAAGCGAAGAAGAGGGTGACACGTCAGATATTAATTTTCTGTCTTTTTTATTTTCTTTTTGTAGAACGATCCAGAAATTGGTGGAGTTTTGTGGCTAGCGTTCAATGAGGGACCTTAACACGTGGCTGTCGTCTGTCACTCACCGAAACGACACCGTTTTTCCTGGTCAAGTTTTTCTCTCACACAAATGCGGAAAAAGCGTAAAAAACCTAACGGAATATTGAGTTACTGATTTTAATGCATGTTGTACAAGTTTTTAGGCATAGACATTTTTGGATTTTGTATTTATTAAATGTTTTTATGTTTTTTTGATAAAATTGTAATTACAAGAAAAAAGGTGGCGCGTGTAGGTGGAGATAAGAAGTGAGCTATAGTCGGGAAATGGTGTGGGTTTACGTGTCAAGATTCTTGTGGTGTGTATGAATTTTTGCAAAGATCTAAAAAATATTTGCTTTTTGGATATTTTATTTGTTTTTTTAAAATGTAAAATAGGAAAAAAAATTGTTTATTATTATTTTTTAAATTATCATTAGGTTATTTTCTTATGAAGGTTATATTACGTAAGGTTTTTATTAAAGAATATGTTAAAAAATTTAAAGATATAGAATTAAGTTAAATAAGTCAATGTTATATTTTTAGTTGTAAGATAATAAAGCATTAAACTAAATATAAGAAGAGTGTTAATTAAAAAGATAAGAAATATGTCAACCAATTAATATTTTGATATATACAAGAAACAGATTATATCAAAAATATGAACATAGAAAATAAAATAATACTAAATATTGGAAGATAATAATAAAGAAAAGTCCACTTGTATTTTCTGGTTTTCTTGTGACAGGAGATTTTTTATTTTATTTTTTTAATTGGAAAGCACTTCATGTGCTTTTCTTAATGGAGAACTGTATTTGTTTTTATTAGATTCTGAAAAATTTAACATATTTAATGCTATATAAATATATTATCTTGTTTGTTTATTAAAATAGAGTGTGTTGTTTAATGTGAACTTTTTTAAATAGTTAAATAATTATTAAGTATCAAATACTACTTATACAAAGAAAATGGTTTATGGATAATAGTTTGTATGTTCTTGTTGAACTATTGTGTTTTACAAAGTTAAAAAATCTTTAAAAAAAACTTAATATTTTATCTAAATTTATGAAAAAATCACAAATCAAGAGGATGTTTGGTTCACTCGATTGGAATGAAATTTAGAGTAAAAGAAGTCTAATTACACTACATTTTGTGTTTATTTCAACTATTGAATTGAAATCATAAATGAAAATAAATAGAATAAAACATTTTCCTTCAAAGATGACCAAATTAATTTCCTATTATGAATTATAGTGACATTTTACCATATTACACTTGTATTATTTCACAGCATAACATCTACCACCATCACACACCACCGCCACAAACACCACCTTCACCACCGCCACCACCACCAACACTACCACCGCCACCACCAGCACCTATTGTCACCACCACCGCCGTCACCCACCAATGCCGCCATCACAACCACAACCAACGTCGTCGTTACCACCACCACCTACCATCGCTGTTGTCACCACCACCGTCGCCGCCACCTACTACTGCCACTTCCACAACCATCACCACCACCATCGCTATCGCTACTACCACCACCTATTGCCACAGCCACCGCCACTACCACCACCCACCACCAACAACAACACTTACCCCGCTACCGTCACCGCGACCACCAAGCACCTACCGCAACCAAAACCGCAACCGCAACTGCCACCATCTACCACCTCTACCACCACCGTCACCACCATTTTTCACCACCATCACCAACCACTGCCACCACCACCTACCACCGCTACCGTAACCGCCACCACATATCGTCATCGTCACCGTTACATTCCACCACTGTCACCACCATCCACCATCACCACCCACCTCTCATCACCGCCACCACCACTACCATCACCACCACCACCACCTACCACCACCACCATCACCTACCACCACCACCGACATGAATGCTCAATTAATAAAATGAAAATTTACTATTTATATAGTTTATATAATATATCTTTACATTTAAGATATGAAACAAAGTAAAATTAAGCAAAACATACAAAATGTCAATTTTATCATTTTACATAGATTTCAATTCTATTTCCTACCAACTAAACAGAATATGTAACTAATTTCAATTTTATTTCCTGCTAACCAAACAGTATATGAAATTGGATTTAAATTCCTGACAGGTTCCTTTTCCAACTCTAATTCTAGATCCTTTAAAAACATTATGCGAACCAAACATCACTTAAAATTCGTTAACGAAAAAACATGAATTATCAGTAAAAATGACGATTTGGCCCTTTTTACCCAGTTTACCAATTTCGTTGATGAACTGTATCCATTAAAGTCTCATTATTTTACCCTAATTTACGAATAAGTCTCAAACTAAAATTAAGTGATGATTTGACATTTTCTCCATCTAACATATATTTTATCGGTTTAATTGTTGACCTGGTCGCCTAGTCATCAAATTGGCTGATAAGATGGATACGATGAGTTATATAATGTTGCATTTACTATAAAACTTGATATTCATCTCATCGGTTCATTTATGACTATATATCGAGGTTAGCAACGAAACCGGTAAAATGTGTGTTTCGGGAAAAATGGCAGGAAATGAGTTTATTAGATTGATATGTTGGCTTACATAATATTAGATAGAAGATTTCAAATTTATTATAAACTTAAAAAATGACGAAGTTGTTTTTAGTTTATGTAATTATTACAGTCTTCGTTTGATGCATTTTATATTCCAAAAAAATATACAATACAACATGATATCAAGTTTTGTGGTAAATATAACATTATATAACCGAACATATGCATCTCATCAGCTCATTTAATGACTAGGCGTCCAGGTCAACAATGAAACTGGTAAAATGTATGTTACATGGAGAAAAGGGTCACATCATCATTTAATTTTTGTTTACGACTTATTCGTAAATTATAGTAAAATAATAGGATTTTAAAGGAACTAGGTCAGAAACCCGTAAAGTGGGGAAAATGGGTCAAATCATCATTTTTACATGTAATTCATGCTTTTTCGTAAACAAAATTTAGTTTTGAAGTTGTTCGTAAATTAAGGTAAAATATTACGACTTTTCAAAAGATTTCCATGTAAAGTAATAAGGTAGAGTAATATAATGACTTAGACAACATATATAGTTTCATATGATCGTAAAATCTAAGAGCATCTCAATACTGTAACAGCCCAAAAACAGTAAAAAAAATTCATTGGAAGTTTATCAAATCATTCATCAATTGTTTCAAAATCCAATGTCAAATCATAATATTCAAAACATCAGAGTACAATTATTCAAATTGCGGAAATCATGAGGAGATGATGTTGTGTCGTCACGTCGGGCCCTTCCCTTTCGAATTGGGGGTACCTGAAACCATAAACGTCAAATGTAAGAACAAAGCTTAGTGAGTTCCCCAAAGTACCACATACCAAACATACGAATATGGGGCCCCGCCCTGGGTATATTTCAACCCAACATGCCATAGTGGGCCCCACCATAGTGTATATTTCAACCCGGAATACCAAAGTGGGCTCCGCCCTGGGGAATATTTAAACCCAATCATACACATATGTATACATCACATAGCAGATAAAATTCTATATAGCCGAGGAATGGGTCGGCATTGGTGCCTTCGAATCATGGATACATTGAGAAAACTCACCTCACAAACAGATGAGAAAATGGAAATAGCACGTTGCTCCGAAATCAACTCTACCAGTCACCTTTACAAATAAAGTAACCAAAACTCATAATATAGATCAAAATACCCCTAGGTCAGACCTTGGTCAAAATCCAGGTCAAAGTCAACCGATTCAACCGGGTCAACTCGGTGAGTACGCTGGGCGTACTCAACACGTACGCAAGGCGTACTGAGTGTTTGACCAAACTGATGGGTTTTGAGCATAGCAAACAATCTTATGTGTGCATGCAACCCTAAAATATTGGATCTATGTTTTCTTTATTAGACATACAAGCATTGAACACAAAATAAGAAACCCTAGGATGCATCTACAATTTTTGAAATTAATAAACCAAGGGTTAGAATACATACCTTTATTGTAATATTGTAATAATAGTGAAATCCTTGAAGATCTTGAACTTTGAGAACAAGTGTCACAAGTGTAACACCTCTAATGGGTCACAAACATACTATGCAAGACGATGAGAGGAGAGAGGAGGAAGCTCAAGAAATTCGGCTCTTCTAAGAGTTAGGAAGCATGGCCGAAATCAAGAGGGTTAGAGGCTCCTTAAATAGTTGTTGGTTCCTTAGAGCCAAAGCTAGGGTTTGCTAGAGGAAACCCTAATTTCCAGCTTAAGGCCTAAGCAGCCCATGGACTCCCATTACTTTAGGCCTTGGACGAAAATTCTAGGGCCACCCTGGAAGTTTTCTTCCAACCCTTCTAGGGTGTTCCAAGAGCCCAAAATCACAACTATTAATTAATTGCTAAATATCCCCTGTACTTTTTATTAGTTCTTTTAATCCCAATATTAATTCCAAATTAATTTATGATTAAATATTAATTAAATAACATGATTTCTAATTAATATATTATTTTCATAATACATTAATAAATCATTTTATATATTAATTTATTATTCCAAATAAAAAATTCTTCCTCTTTCTCAATTGGTCATCATGTCTAGTTGCTAGTATGAAGGCAACCCAAAAGGACTGTGCTACTATCAAATCAAGTACATACCAATTATAGTTATGGGCTTAGATACCTAATCCAACAGTATCCCAATTGGATAAGTGTAATAACTATAATTGCAAGTATAACTTCAAATTTTGACTAGCAAATTGTAGCTCTCAAAGCCGCTGTTGAACTCTGACCTAGTCAGTAATGTGTCCTAAGATAAGTGATCATATAATCCTCCGTTCTACAAGATATCATGTGGACAAAT